TGGAGATATTAATGGTGCAACTGGGGAAACTATTAAGGTATAAAATCTTCAGACTTTTCCCTTCATCTGACTAACACAATCATGATGTAACTTATATTTTCTATTTTGAATTATAAAGAAACATGGGGCGCTGAAATTTGCTCTCGTATAGACATCTTGGTTATACACAAAAAAATCGGACATTTAGTATTTGGTTATTTTCTGTTAACCTATGTCAAGAGATTCCTTAGGCACTCTTAGCACCGATTGAAACATTTTAAATGACCTATGAAAAGTCTCCATTTTCAAACAACATCATTTCTCACGGCGTTGCTCGTCGAATACATATTAGTCTACACAAACAACAATTATTAGATATATGATTCTCCCCTCGCCCTCGTGTCTTCTAATATTCTACAAGAAGACTACATCCCTTACAGAGTACAAAAACTTCAAGATCCCTTCGATAACCAAACAATGTGAATTTCTCAGTTGAATCTTGAACTGTATCGCCCAGTATGGATAAGTAATACAAAATGTTATTAATAAGGGTAATGGTGTGTATTATTCAGTGTCAATGCATCATTAAGCTGCTAAAGAGAGGTCAGTATGAGTTCCATCAATAGAGTCTGATTGGGATTTTTAAAGGGGTTGTACAGTAAAATGAAAGAAATTATCATGTCATACACACGTTATTTTGACAGCAATCTCAAACGTAGTCCGTGTAATATAATGCTGATTTTGTTGGTATCTAGAAATATTACCAGAAGTAAAGTATCCTTGCAAGTTAATACATCACTGTAGCAGTTCATCTACAATAAAATGACGTCTTAAGGTCTTGACATAATGGCAAAAAAAGTTGCAGCCAAATTTTTTATCCTGTATTTCCAGACTTGTATGAAATTAGGTAGTTTCTTCATTAGCCCACAAGGTGCAGAAAAGTAGGACGTAAAACTCTATTCACTTCATTTCATTTCAATTCATCTTCACTTCAAATAAACTCTCACTATTCCACATTAATATAAATGCTCGAATCTGGGGTCAGAATATACCTAACCACGCCCTCCATTGCTTATAAGGCATAACATTTAGACGCAATGATATTTTAGATCTTGCTCTAAAATCGCTTTCATTCTGGTGTGACTGGGTTAATAATTCAAATCATTCCAAGCCTTTCTTTTGATGCCAATTATTTACGCTAATGATGGAAAAATTTATTCTGTTAAATCTGAATTTTTGCTCAGCTAGATAGAAAGTAATTAATCTATTTTGGTAGCCACAATAGTACATTGAATTAAAAAAAAGGTCTACCATATACGCTTCTTCTTAGACAGTAGTTAAGATCGTGATAATGATATGTTATACTGAGAGAAAATTATAGTTTCAATAAATTACAAATATGAAAGCGTTTCACTGTGAAAATCATCTGATTTTTAGTGTAAACCACTTTTTCCGCTTCAGGTGGATTACATTTTGTCCACGGTTGGTCAAAACCTATCATTTGTGTTTGAAGCTGCGATTACATGCATGTGTACTCAAACTCAAGATCAAACAAAAACGATAAAAAAACGACTAGAGCAAATCCTTTCCAAAACCTTAGCAAATCCAATAGTCTGGTCAATTTTGAGTTGCTCTACGGACAGGAAATGGAAATGCTGCAAATAAAGTTATATGTGACTTAATACCTTAAAACAGACAAGAAAGCCCTCTTCCAATCCCGTTAATATAATACTATCAACTCATCTGTAAGTGGCAATGAACTTTAAGAAGGTTTTATGATCGACATAATAGCGTATATTAAATGTAGAATCTTATAATAAGCGTTGTATTGGCAATAAAGGCACTAAGTAATCTATAAAAACATTCCAATCATCATTGACGACATCGCTTAATCGTTTAGAAAATAGGTTAACATTTTTCAGACGTCTTATTTCCCGTCCAATTCACTTTTTACGACAACATCTAACCTCTCTGGGGAAATCTTACACTTTATTTCAAATATATCTACAGCCTAGTGAATTAAATAAATTAGTCTAAGACCTTATTGAAATAAACGTCTATGAAACATTTCCATCTCATCAAACGTTGAAGACTGTTAAAATTATTGGTTATCATGAATTGTGTCAAAATCCTATTTAAGAGACCACAAGGTTTACTAACTTATAGGACTTTTTATCAAATTTTATTAAGGTTTTTGTTGCCCTGAATCCATTGATAAGTGTTTTACCAACTAACTGAAAATAAAACGATCATATGATTGCAGACAATTTTAATTGCACTTAGTATTCATTTACGATTCAATTTTTAGATGTGTTGATTTAAAGATTGTTAATTGCTTTAAAGTAGGTGTGAACTGTCTGATGATGTCAATGCAAAGCTCGATTTGATCTATAGCATATCTTGTATGATTTGTCACTGCCGTCAAGGTTCAGTTTTAAGAGATTTTAACGTATTTAAGCCAATTAACACTAGCCAATATCAGATAAGTCTCTCTATTTACAAACGCTACGACATTTTTTTGTCATTTCGAAACGCCAAATATTCTCTGCATTTAGTTATAAGCGTTTATATTGGGAACCATTGGTATAGATATTAGCATGTCTTGTCTTTCAAGAAATTCAAGCATAAATGCATATATGCAAAAGAACTAACTTTGAAACCTCTGAAAGGCAGCTTTCAACCATATGGGAATTGCTCACGAATCAAGAAGTTAAGGCCACAGATCGATGGCCTTTGTATATATGAAACAAATATCAGCAAATGTGATTATTAAATTTAAAGATTGTTTGGCAACAACTGAACCTCCCTTAATACTATAATACGTAGCCGATGACTGCGATGTCGTTAAAGGGGAAGATGCGCCATTGTTTGGAGCAATTATACTTAAGTCTAAGAAACGGAATTTTTTTAGCTTAGCCAACCAGTGTTCACAGTTTACCATCGAAATTTGAGCCTTCAAATCCACGTGGGTCCAGAATTGCATTTGAATATTAAAATGACGACTCGATATAGAACAGACATATATAGAAATAGTCAGTAAAATTTCTAGTTTGAAGTATTTTTAAAGTAATTATGCGATTTTCGTACATTTCTAGTACTTCTTAAGTCTATTTACATATTTAAGGCTAAAATCAACCACTCAAAATACCACAACTGTCCAAAGCATCTGCCCTCCAGAAGACAAAATAAAAATGTTCGCCAAGAAAATACTCCAGAGAGTACAATCATCTTCCAGATAAGCAGGGATATTTGTAATTAGATAGAAATGTCGTGAAGCGTTCCACTCAGTCCCAGGCAGCTTTATGTGCACATCAAACTATTATCTCTCAGACTTTTGTGACTGATCCGTTCCACTAAAGGATATTATTATAAGATAGTCGTTGCGTAAAACCACAGATAACTTGGACCCAACAAGTTATAGTTGACTTGTGTAAGTCACGATCTGATCAATTGACAAGACAGATAATACATTAAGTCATGAATAATAAGATGATAACAGGGTCAGTAAGTTACTAGTAATTTTAGTGACAAGAGGATTTATTATTGTCTGATTGCTGAATAATATCGTCTATAGCTCGCAGGATCGGTGCAGGAAGTCCATTGCTCCAATATTCAAGAATTACGCTGAAAACATTATCCAGCTCTCTTCATTCACCAAGCAAAGTGTAACAACACTCCAACCATTCATTTACTTTTGGGATAAGCCACATAATGAGTTGCCTACTTTATATATTACTGCTTTTCACTAGTTTGATGGTTTTTAATACTACACCACTTTGAATTCACACGAATTAAAGATCTGTGATTCTATCCAGTAGATAAGGTTTCTTCAAAAGATATTTTGTTCGTGGATTTTACGTTGATCAGTTAGACAAGAGTTGCTTCCCTTCTAATATCAAGTTATCCACTATATAGGTAATGTAATAGTCACATTTAAATATTTCTCTGACCACTTACTATTAAATGAAATGTGGGCTAATGAGGTCGTGCAACGCCATGAAGGGTGCAATGAGGAAAATTTTGCCAGGATAGTGGCATTAGCCTGCTCTTCTTCGATTTCCAACTGTCGAGAGACCTTTAACGTGTAAACTGTAGCACACGGGGCCTCGGTTTATTGTCCCATCCGAACGACTAGACGCCTTTTCCATGTCAGTCCTTCTTACCTGCTTCACTGACAAGGGGAAACCGGGTTGAAAAATCCGAAGGTATTATCTTGACCTATGCCGGGATTGAACCCCGGACCGTCAGATTAGTGAGCAGGTGTCTAACTCACTGAGCCAATACGGCCCCGGACCACTCTCTAAACACCATCTATAAACAGTTTGTCATCGTAGATAGCATCAACAGAAGGAATGTAATTAAATACCAATTGGTATTGAAGAACTGAGCATTCCAGCGATGCGAAAGACTGACAACGGCGATCAGCAGGTCGAGAAGACGGAAGGTTGTAACAGTATTTGGAAGTCAAGTGCTCTTGGATCATGATGGTGACAAGTTCTTAAAAAGTTTTTGCAGCATAGGTACCAATGGCGGCGCCATGTTCAATGGTAGAGGGGCGTATGTGGCCTCATAGAAAATTGGTTTTCATCCCCAATTATACCACCCACTTTACCACTTTAATTTCAACAAATTTAAAAATATTATTTGTGGACGTTTGTTCTAGAAAATATGTGTTAGAATGCACCAAATCAATTCATTTTTTCGAAAATTGCTTCGACAGTGTTGTCACCCCACCCCCCCCCCCCAAAATTATGGCGGTCTGTTACCTATTTGACTCCCAGTCTCGGGTAGAGTTGATATATATGGTATATGCGCTACCTCGACAGTTCGACATTCATTAATCACAAGATCTGCAGATAAGAAAAGAATCATGCTTCTATATGTTGATTATTTGCTTTTGCCAAAAGGATATATCTTCAGGAAAATGAAGATAATTAATTGCTTTTATTTTCAAAAGAGAGAATAATACTTTAAAATAATAGAGTGATTTTTGGTTATGGGATCAATTCAGAAAAGATGTTCTTTTGAACTTATTCCACAAGTATGGATCGTATTTATTTCACAATTGTTTTAATTAGAAACATTAAAAGAGAAAATAATATAAACGGATGCCCCACATGGTTTTCAAGTATTACTAATACTCGTCCCCAGCATCTTCTTCTTCCTCTAGATCTTCTTGACCAACTTCTTCATAATCTTTCTCGAGAGCAGCCAAATCTTCTCTGGCTTCAGAAAATTCACCTTCTTCCATACCTTCACCTACATACCAATGAACGAAAGCTCTCTTGGCGTACATAAGATCAAATTTATGATCAAGACGAGCCCAGGCTTCGGCAATAGCAGTGGTGTTGCTCAACATACAAACAGCACGAGTAACTTTAGCTAAATCACCTCCTGGTACAACAGTTGGTGGTTGGTAATTGATACCGACCTTGAAACCAGTTGGACACCAGTCGACGAATTGGATGGTTCTCTTGGTCTTGATTGACGCAATTGCAGCATTGACATCCTTGGGTACAACATCACCTCGGTACAACATACAGCAAGCCATATATTTACCATGTCGTGGGTCACATTTGACCAACTGATTAGCTGGTTCAAAGCATGCATTGGTGATATCCATTACAGTCATGGTTTCGTGGTAAGCCTTTTCAGCAGAGATAACTGGGGCATAGGTAGCCAATGGGAAATGGATACGTGGGTAAGGTACTAAGTTGGTCTGGAATTCGGTAAGATCGACGTTCAATGCACCATCAAACCGGAGGGAGGCAGTGATGGAACTGACGATTTGACCGATAAGTCGGTTCAAGTTGGTGTAACTGGGACGAGATATATCTAAACATCTTTGGCAGATATCGTAAATGGCCTCGTTATCAACCATGAAGGCGCAGTCGGAATGTTCCAGGGTGGTATGAGTGGTGAGAATAGAATTGTAGGGTTCCACCACTGCAGTAGACACTCGAGGAGCCGGGTAAACAGCAAATTCCAGTTTGGATTTCTTTCCATAGTCGACACTCAATCTTTCCATAAGTAGAGATGTAAAACCCGACCCTGTGCCACCGCCAAATGAGTGGAAAAGTAAGAATCCCTGGAGACCTGTGCATTGATCAGCCAATTTTCGGATTCTGTCTAATACCTGATCTATCTGCTCTTTCCCAACAGTATAGTGACCTCTGGCGTAGTTGTTGGCAGCATCTTCTTTACCAGTGATAAGTTGTTCTGGGTGGAAGAGTTGTCTGTAGGTACCAGTTCGGACCTCATCTAGAACATAAAACAAAGCTTACTTAATGCACCGTCACTGTGGTATAGTGCCAATAGTAGATAAATTGTGACAGCACTAAACAGTTGCAGGTTAACATAGATAATTCAGTCATACCTACTACAGTTGGTTCCAAATCAACAAAGATGGCTCGTGGTACGTGTTTTCCAGAACCAGTTTCACTGAAGAAAGTGTTGAAGGAATCATCTCCACCTCCAATAGTTTTATCAGAAGGCATCTGACCATCAGGTTGGATACCATGTTCTAAACAGTACAATTCCCAACAGGCATTGCCCATCTGGACACCGGCTTGACCAACATGGATAGAGATACACTCACGCTGGAATTAAAAAAAATATTATGAATACAGTGTAATAATTCACATAATTGCATTTATAAAAACTCGGTAAATGTACTTGAGTCGTATACTATGTGATATTGAAGGATTTCTGATTAAATAAACTATTTTGTGTTACCAATAACATACCAAAAAGAACCGGATAGGTGTATCAGAGTGATGCACTATGAGAAATTGACTGATACTAATTACATTTCCAGTCCGGTGGAAAATTTAAAAACAACGTTTTGTCACAGATTATTTGGAATTTCAAACTGGACAATGAGTTTACCCATATAAAGCACATCTACGATCCCTTTAAGTCAAAATACTGTCAATTAATATATAATCGCCTGTGGCCAAACGATTGATATCAATCAAATATATCAACTTAAGTAGGCCTATTCATATATTGTCAGTTTTATAACGGGATGAGGCCGGGAATGTGCTCATGACCTTATCCTTTTATTAGATGTGTTAACGTTATATTTGGGAAAAACTGTCATCTGGGATGAACATTTCAAATGAATGGCTAAGTTTAATGACATCTATTAGTCTATGCTTTCGCATCCCTTGTAAGACTTTTCCGAGCAAATAAACAAGATTAATGAAGCAAATATCCTTGACCTTTTGTCATTCGATCGCCCAGTTCTACACAAATATTTTAGTTTCACTGAGATGAATCTTGTGTGATAATGATGAAAATCATTCGTGTGTATCATGAAACTTGGTGACACAAAAACAAGCTTGTATATACAATGATGTATGTATATAACTTGCCAAAATTACTGACCTTTTTACTATACATGTAGTATGTTATGTACTAAAACAATACTGAAAGTGGGACGAGGTACTGCGCATTATTAAACTTTTTGTCGTGCCGGTGTTATTTATACAGATGTTTATACATTTTTCATATCACAAACTTATCTTAAATTTGTAAAATATTTAGAGGAGTTTGTCAGCCTCAGAGGCTTAAAGTCAGAAACTCCCACTGTAGATTTTTTTGTCGCCATTTTATCTGTTTGGTTTTTCTTGATTCTAACTAGAGGTAATCCACTAGAGATATTAACATTAAATAAGAATTGTTTCCTGGTACAAAGTATTAATATGATAACATAGTGTAACGAATTTTACCGAATTCTTGATGAAACATATGGAAGGATATGACAATGTGATATTTCACATGGTATATAGTATATAGCCGGACCTAAACCGACATCAATATAGTTCAGTGTTTCCTGTTGATCTAGTTAGTATTCTATTGCCTACTAGTCTACTGTACCCTTGTAGCATTATGCTCTACTGATGCAAATGGATGCCATTGCTTACGAAGGTTGTCCCGAAGTAACCCAGCCGTTGAATTATCAATATAATATATTCGACTTTTAATCCTTAAAATACCTTATCTGATGAATTTAAATAACACTATAATTTAGATTACGATTCCAGATTGGCACAAATTAACATATTCTTCATCTCTTGCCAACAAATTACTAAATGTTTTTGTCTTGTCTTAGGAACCGCAGTAATTGCCAAAATGTCGAATGTGGAGGTAGACGTTCATTCTAAGAATTTTTTCGCATTATCACTTTTCAGTCAAAAGTTGCAAAATATTTTATCAACATGTCTATCAATCTAGAAACATGACCTAAAATCACCAAACATCCAAATCACCACTACATCCACTAATTGCAATATTTTGTCCCTTAAAGTATTGAAAATTTTACTTACCATTCTTGCAACTAATTATGAGCAGCAGACGAAAAAATAAAAGAAAGGCAAACTATAGCTTGTAACCTCACACAGACGTCAAGGTGTCTCGTGAGTTTCTGATGAAAATTCACTGACACTCTCGACGATAAATTAAAGTATATAAACCAGTTTACATGTCACGTGACAGTCATAAACTACGTTTCAGTGGGTTGCTTTTCAGTCCACATTATATATGAAATTATTCTATTTCCACTTAAGATTGCTTCACTTAATCAATTCCATTTTATTACGTTCTATAGTATAGAATATTTTGTTCAGATTGACTCGATATAATAGATCGTAGTCTTCATCAAAGGATTCAATGCCTGGAACTATGTAGCATTTAAATGCGGTCATATATTTCAGAGTTATGTCCCCTTACTTATCGGACTCGGAACTTCTCCTTGCGTGTGTGATGAAAGTTTATTATTCAAATTACTTACTTCTCACTTACTGCTGTAAAGGAACAATGTTTATAAGGAACAAGTATTCTACTGTCTATATATTTACGTTATTTGGACTGTACTGCGAAAGACCGCTTCGCAAATGCTGCAATTTGTTCTACTATTTTACCTACCAAAGGGTGGTTCATTGCTGCTTTATTGGTTGGCATGGTTAGTAGGTTTACCTTTTAAGTACATGACAGACATGGCCTACATTCCCCAGTAAGACATTCCCTATTCCCAACCGAGTGATAAGCTTAAGTATATTGTTGCATAAACCCCAAAGTTTAAGATCAAACAAAGAGATCATATCTGGACCCAAAATGACACATGAAATAAAGATAAATATGACTATGGTTGAAGTTTATATGATAAGTGTTGACAGTGAAGACAAGCTTAAGAATACAGAGAAACGAAAATCAAGTTAAGCATACAATGATGTGACACTTGTTTATACGTTTACAAAAAAAAATTCAACCGGTTTCTAAAAATCTTAAGTTATGCATGGTGAGAAAAATCTGACCAAAACCCAAATAAGTCGATAAACTAAGATTTCCAAAAACCCGCCCAATGGAAGCTTTAAACTGAATAACAGCTGTACATTGATTACGATATTGAACATTTCTTAATATCTAATATTCATCTCCTTCTCCTTCTTCACCTTCTTCATCATTACCGTCAATTCCAACTTCCTCATAATCTTTCTCGAGAGCAGCTAAATCTTCTCTAGCTTCAGAGAATTCCCCTTCTTCCATACCTTCACCAACATACCAATGGACGAAAGCTCTCTTGGCGTACATAAGATCAAATTTATGATCAAGACGAGCCCAAGCTTCAGCAATAGCTGTGGTGTTGCTCAACATACAAACGGCTCTCTGTACTTTGGCTAAATCACCTCCTGGTACAACAGTTGGTGGTTGGTAATTGATACCGACCTTGAAACCAGTTGGACACCAGTCGACAAATTGGATGGTTCTCTTGGTCTTGATTGTTGCAATTGCAGCATTAACATCCTTGGGGACAACATCACCTCGGTACAACATACAACAAGCCATGTATTTACCATGACGGGGATCACATTTGACCATCTGGTTGGCTGGTTCAAAACAAGCATTGGTGATTTCCATGACAGAAAGCTGTTCATGATAAGCTTTCTCGGCAGAAATAACAGGGGCATAGGTAGCCAATGGGAAATGGATACGTGGGTAAGGTACCAAGTTAGTCTGGAACTCGGTGAGATCGACGTTCAAAGCACCATCAAATCGAAGAGAAGCAGTGATGGAGCTGACGATTTGACCAATAAGTCGGTTCAAGTTGGTGTAGGTTGGTCTTTCAATGTCCAGATTTCTTCGGCAGATATCGTAGATGGCCTCATTATCAACCATGAAGGCACAGTCGGAATGTTCCAGAGTGGTATGGGTGGTGAGGATAGAGTTGTAGGGTTCTACCACTGCAGTTGAAATCTGTGGAGCTGGGTATACAGCAAACTCGAGTTTGGATTTTTTGCCATAGTCGACACTCAATCTTTCCATAAGGAGAGATGAGAAACCAGATCCAGTTCCACCACCGAAGGAGTGGAAGAGGAGAAATCCCTGAAGACCAGTACATTGATCAGCCAGCTTCCTAATTCTGTCAAGGACCAAGTCGATCAATTCCTTTCCAACGGTGTAGTGACCTCTGGCGTAATTGTTGGCAGCATCTTCTTTACCAGTAATAAGTTGTTCTGGGTGGAAGAGTTGTCTGTAGGTACCAGTTCGGACCTCATCTGTAACAAGATTTAAAAAAGTCATGAATTTGATAGTTGATAACTAATTCATGTATAACATAGATTGAACAAATTGCTCGATACTAGGCAGAGGTCCAGTCGAAAGTACAAATAGGCGTATTTCATACAATTTACCTACCTACAACAGTTGGTTCCAAATCAACAAAGACAGCTCTTGGTACATGTTTACCAGCACCAGTTTCACTGAAGAAAGTGTTGAAGGAATCATCTCCACCTCCAATAGTTTTATCTGAAGGCATCTGACCATCAGGTTGGATACCATGTTCTAAACAGTACAACTCCCAACAGGCATTGCCCATCTGGACACCAGCTTGACCAACATGGATAGAAATACACTCACGCTGAAAATAGAAAGGAGAACGATAAGTACCATCGGGATTTATTCTTGCACTTGGATCTGAAATGAACTATTTATTACCTCATTTCGTCAAAGTTGAAAGATGTAATGTTCGACACATATTAATCAGTATATTGGAAAGTCGGAATAAAGTATGCGTCAGAAAACAATATCAGTCTATGTTTTACGACTGTAAAATGACCAGCAGGATGAGTCATGGAGAGAAAATATGATACTAAATAACTGAGTGAACCAACACAAGTTAATTATGGATGGCTGTACCAGCTTGATATTAATATTAATATACAAGTATAAATATACTATAGCCAAGCGATTCAACCATTGATTATGAAAGTGTCACATTTCACTTGTTTGGATTCTGTAACAAAAACTAAAAAGTCTCTATCTTATTTCAGTCAAATTCGTTTGACTATCTTAGTATGGATGCTACATGAATGTGTATAGGTCTTTCCTCGCTTTTATTCCGTTGTTGTTGATGATTTAAGAAACACTATTGGACCATCAGTCATATTTTCTGTGATAAGCCGTTATTGATTTTAGATAATACAATACATGTTATTCAGTGCTGTCTCAGCTGTCTATGGTGTATATTGACATTGTTAATACAATAATATTGAGTATAAAATTTGCCAGATGTGATAACGATAAGACGATATATAAATAATACCGGCTTAATCAGAATCAATATTCAATCGATACTCTTCTGTATGAGTAATAACCTTAGATTGAAAATTACTCAACAAATTTATTGAAAACATGCCTTTCTTTTAAGAGCTTAATCATTCGTCGGCAAAATCTATGTTTGTCAACTCGATCAGTCGTGAATGATGTTCAAAGCAGTTGTAGTAGAGTATCCAGTTATCTACAAGATAAAAAAAAGAGTATCCAGATAGAAAAGTCTTACAGACTGACAAAACTACAAAACCGAATTAACATTCCCTGCGGCTTTATTATGGTTCAATGGAAAATAAAAACTGGCCCAACCCGTCTTTAATGGCTCATTGTTGAAAACATGGTGAACTGTCCAGATAATTTGATTTTAAATAAAGGTATATATATTTTATTTCTATCAGATATTCTTACTGCAGCTTTGAATAATCCCCAAAAAGACTCATAGACTTGTCTATCATGGTTATGATACTTATCATATCTAAATATTGCTCTTGATTTACATATGTATTTTTTTTTCTTATGAATGAGTGTTAAATTATCTTCAATTCATATTCTCATTTTGAACATACAACTATATCGCAGTAACTAATTAATTTCATAATAACTACACCCTAACCGAAGGCAATTCAATCTATCATTCAATATCGAGTTCAGACGTTTATACATGACATAAAGTATAACACAGTCATCAAACATTGCTGCTGATTTTATTCACCTAATTATAAAACTGTTAAAATATGCTTGCACATGTGTATCTAATTTTCTTTTAAATTTTGTGTGCAGAAAGTATTAGCTTTTTAACTGTTCAACGATCATTTTAATGACTACAAAAATTTGTATTTCGTCAGACATTTGTTTTAGAATTTCAAAAATGTATCGGTAATATCCGAGTAATTCTCGTTGTGAATGTGCCATGTTATTAAGTTCTTTAAAGAAATATTTTTCTAGTTATCTGATTAACACCGGATGTCTGATAAAAATAAATTAGAAATGAACCTTACCGGAGCTCTTGGCATCAGTTTCAGAACCACATATAAAAGATTTGGCGGAAAATCGAAGAAATTTGGCAGTCCCTGTTTGGTATTTACAGAGGGACTGAAGCTTATTTTGTAGCCATAAAATAAAGTAGAACATGGAATTTGGTACATGGGTCATCGTTAATGGTTGAAGATAATTTGTTTAGTTCACCTTCCAAGGAGGTCACAGAACAGCTTGACATTCTTTAAAAAATTCCAAACCAAATATTCCCTATAAAAGCTTTAAACTGATTTATGGCCACTATGGCCACATATACGACCTATTTTTGTATTAAAAATTTATCTTTTAAACCCAATGTTTTAAGTTCAGGACGCCCCCGCACACAATTTTAAACGGTTATACAGTTAACCTCGACATTCATATGAATAGAAGTAGGACGCGACTATCAAATACCAAATAAAGAGCCATAGAGGGCTTGAGACTTATTCAGTACCATTAGTCACATATATTATGATCATTCCGGCATAAAAGTAGAACACGCGGCTATCGAAATGGCAGTTTGAATCGATATTCTGGTCTGACCTTTCCATCTAATAGAAGACCAGATTCTATACACTTTATAACTAGTGGAATTAGTCACGCCACTGTATAAAATATGTATGGAATTTGTTATATGAACAATGCGATTGTGGTATCATGTTTGTATGTTATCATCATGTTCATGTATTATAAGGTCGCTAAATAATGATAATTACCATCTACTCCACCCTTTTCTCATTTCAATTTGAGGCTTAGAACAAAATACGACTGATCTCATTTTTACATGGTTTAAATCGCATTCTTGTATTTCGATTTAGTTTGCATTGCTGTTTAACATTATTCGAATAATGCGATAATATCATCATTATTTGAATCATAATTTACAATATTTAATGCCAAACATACTCTAAATGTTAATATAAAAAACTGTAGGTAAATGAATTTACACTCCTTTCCTCTCGGTCATTTATAAAATATGTCGGGTGTGACAAAGACGGTGACAAGAGCGCCAAAAATTCCCTATTCAAACAAAGACGAGACTGTGGTTTAAATCTTTCTCCATTCTCTCTTCCCGTTGTTTCTTATCGCCATTTAGAACCACCTGTGTCTTAATTAAAATTTTGAAATATTTAAAGAGAAAACAAACAAACACTCACCATTTTGAATGATGTGTTTTAAAAACAGGCAACTAGCGAAAATGACAGATGAAAAAAGAATTCGGCGACCTCGATACGACTGATGATGCGTCGTTTGAGCTGTGCTGAAGTCCAGTGGAGTAATGAGGTCAAAAGCTGGAGTTTTGTTGTCGCGAGATGTGAATAACTTTGTAACCATAGCAACTGTAACGCCATTGGTTGAAATAATTGATGAGAAGAATAAGTTGGGATTTTAATAGATGACGTCATGGTAAATAATTCTAGATTCAAAAATTGCTGAAGGCATGTGAATAACTTGTGGTTTAGAATTAGTAAACCTATTCTAATCATATGAATTAAAAATCATTTCTTTGTTTCTAAGAAGATTTGTATCTGTTATATGGGCTATACTTTTGAACGACTGTGCTGTACACCCCAGTATTAGTTCGAAATTTCAAATTTGCAGACTTTTAAGAAACCGGCCTGATGATTAACAGATGACGTCCGACTGAATTTGGAATTATATAATCTGTGGTATTTTGGCATCAAATAGAGCTTCATGCTTTACGTTTGAACTGAAATTAATAGCCCTCTGAATGTGATGATTGTTAGGTGATTCGTTGCCCTGGTTTAAAATCCCTAGGAAATGGAACCGCTTTCTGATCTCTATTGTCACAAATTAAATGACATAAGCAAAGTAATACTGAATAAATAACCAATTCAGACTGTACATAACGTATGGTATATTGCCAATTATTGATTTTCTTATCTTCTATATTAGATTGTATCCATAGATAGTATGTATGACTAATGAATAATGAAAATAGGAATTCAGCATTCATTGGTCGCTTGAGATAAAGTTATTTCCATTATTTAGAGGCTGTTGGTCGTTAAAAGTTGCTTGAAATTGACAGATGGGGAGCTGATTTGAGTCCTGAATATATGTAAATATCTTCAGAAGAACTTTGTACTTTTCCTATTTCTATAGATGTATTTCTCTATACGATGGTATAAGATTTGAACGACATATAGAAGCGAGGAGCACATATAACAAAAACACAAGACAATATTATGGAATATAACACACTTCTTTAATAAGGTTATTGGTCTGGTCACACATCTGATGATGACACGTGTATATTGTGTTGAAACGTTATGTGCCCAACCTTATTAAAGAAGTGTGTTATATTCCATAATATTGTCTTGTGTTTTTGTTATATATATGATGGTATCTGTTTTAACTTTCAAACGCAGATAATTGTGGACACACGTGGATTTGAAGGCTAAAATTTCGATAGTGAGTTGTGGGCACGATTACTGATTGGCTTAGTAAGTAAAAATTCTCTGCCTAAGTCTGAGACTAAGGTACGATTGGTAAGAAAAAACGCAACTGTAAGAATTCTGGTTGGTTATTGTGTACTTGTATTAAATAAACCAAATAAAAAATCATAAGCTCTGCAATGCGATGTTCACTATCCAATTCGCAGATGTTTCACAAAGGCAGATATGCCCTGTCCTGCAAGCGACACGCGTTACAGTGAAGCTTTAAATTTTTAATTAATCAATAATATAGCTTTACATCTTTAAACTATGACGGTATAATGTTTTGACTCCACGTTGACTTCTGACTAATAATAGCCTATATCTGAATCATTCTATACAGGTCAATATTTATTCCGATAAATAGTTTTAAAAACATAGTAGGACTATGAAACAAAGTGAAATCAGAAAAAAACATACATATATAATTATTCAAATAGTATTATGTAAGTCGACAAACAGACAAAAACCCGATGTAGACATGAAATAATCAGGTTATCATCGATCATACTAGACGGAAATGATTCTCCATCATTTCATCCCGATTTCCAAGGTCACTTACATTTTAAACCCAAAATTCAATTCTATATAATATGGTATCATAAATAATCACCATCAATAACAACCCAACTTGCTTTATCATGTACCGGTATTATATTTTTCCGTATAACCGTCATATTCTTAGTGTGTCATTAAAACTATCGGAATTATTAAGTATTTGTATATTTTATGATATATAAAAGCCCGAAAATGATTCCGTCACTGTTTTATTTTTACTATTCAGTAAGGCAAATGTTGATCAATGAGTGAAACACGCTCTAAACGTCCATGGATTGATCTAGAAAGTTGGATCATCAATTCGCTCGATATTTGAGTCATAATGACCTCATGCTTTGAAACCGCCACGTATTCATTAAAAATCTGTATGGAGTTCCCTCCCTTTTATCAGTAATACTCATAGTTCATTCTGAATTTCCATTTTTTGAGTCAGTGATTTATTTATAAATATATTACCAAAGGAAATGGTTTGTATCTTGTGACAAAAAATATTCAATCTGTTTTGACTCTAATCCGAAAGAATTGGAGAAAAAGAACGCTTAATTTCTTGGTTTCCCTCTGTCATGGATTCAGATCCAAAGGAGTGCACTAAAAAAGTCAAAAGAAAAACACGAATTTCTAGTGTGCTTCCGACTGCGTAGGTCTATGCCACAGTCTTTCGACAATCAAATCTGAAATTGTGTCTTTGTATTTGCGAAATTTATTGCACACAACGCGCTTGTTGCTCCAGACGAATTAGGCTCAAACATATTTTCTGTGACAGCAATTCCTATTTGAGAGGTACAATATGGCTTAAACCATAGTCTAGAACAGACAATTATTCTTGAAATTCGTAGATATTTCGGACAATCTTAATTTAGTTCAACATGTTCATTCTTTCATTTAATTCATTCATGATTCAGTTATCTATTTTAAAATATGACAGAATAATAGTTACACTGATACTGATAACAAGGATCTAGTATGACTCAACGTAACTCGTGGCAAAGATAATAGTGGACCAAAGTATATAAAAACACAAGACTACTACCCCCTTTTTATTATTATCATCGCTCTCACCTAAGCTGCTTTAAAGCTATTGCGTGAGCATTTGATACGCTTTTTACAGCATTAACGTTTATATTCTTTGACATTCATCATAAAAAGGAAAATGGTAAGTTAATATTTTAGAATATACTTACTGCATGCATCAATGGATTGGTGCGTTATGTTCATTCTCGTTAATCTGGAATTCGAGTCAAATATCACATTTCAACCAAATGCCTATATCATTCTTTTGAATTTGCAAACAGTAATGTGGGTCTGAGGGACTGTCATAAACATTAAATTTCAAGTCATTAGGGGGCATAAACCTTGATTCCAGGTGCCAAAAGCCGTATGCATTAATATACATGGTGTATGGAAATCGGCAACGAATAGATGGGTGAGGCTACAGCCTTCATTTCTAACAATGTGGTAGTGGGACAGAACTACATTTACAGGCGTATTTCCAATAATTTTCTGTTCGTATCAGCTAAGCATTTCTTCTGATTCAAATCATTAACAGAAATATTTTTAACTTATTATTAACTTTCAGCGTGAAGTTATATCTATCCATATTGGTCAAGCCGGTGTCCAGATGGGCAATGCCTGTTGGGAGTTGTACTGTTTAGAACATGGTATCCAACCTGATGGTCAGATGCCTTCTGATAAAACTATTGGAGGTGGAGATGATTCCTTCAATACTTTCTTTGCTGAGACTGGTTCTGGTAAACATGTACCAAGAACAATATTTATGGACTTAGAACCTAATGTTGTTGGTGAGTGTATGATCAAAAATAATTTTGTCAAATGGAAGGTCTGATTGTGTGATTTTTCCCTAGTCTATCTACTGCCTTTCTCTTGGGTTAAACCTGTACAATATGCTTTAAAAAGATGAAAACATTAGAGCAAAGTATTATTAGGCTTTATAGGCTACTATTTAAGTATTACGTTTTTCTTTTCCAGATGAGGTCCGAACTGGTACCTACAGACAACTCTTCCACCCAGAACAACTTATCACTGGTAAAGAAGATGCTGCCAACAACTACGCCAGAGGTCACTATACTGTTGGGAAAGAAATCATAGATTTGGTACTTGATAGAACCAGGAAACTGGCTGATCAATGTACTGGACTTCAGGGTTTCTTGATCTTCCACTCATTTGGTGGCGGAACTGGTTCGGGATTTACTTCTTTACTTATGGAAAGGCTGAGTGTGGATTACGGCAAGAAAACTAAACTTGAGGTAGCGGTGTATCCATCTCCGAGTCTAGCAACAGCTGTTGTTGAACCATACAACTCGATACTTACCACCCATGTTACATTAGAACATTCCGACTGTGCCTTTATGGTAGATAACGAAGCTTTGTTCGATATTTGTAAGAGTAACTTGAACATAGAACGTCCCACATACACCAACCTAAATCGTATAATAGGACAGGTTGTAAGTTCTATTACGGCTTCTCTCCGATTCGATGGGGCCTTGAACGTGGATTTGGGAGAATTTCAAACGAATTTGGTACCCTATCCACGTATCCACTTCCCTTTGGCTACATATGCACCCATTATATCGGCCGAGAAGGCTTACCATGAACAACTTAATGCAGTCCAAATAGCTAACGCTTGTTTTGAACCAGCTAACCAGATGGTCAAATGTGATCCTCGTCATGGTAAATACATGGCTTGCTGTATGTTGTATCGAGGTGATGTTGTTCCCAGCGACATCAGTGCAGCTATTGCCAGTATCAAGACCAAAAGAACCATCCAATTCGTCGACTGGTGTCCAACTGGTTTTAAAGTTGGTATCAACTATCAACCACCAACTGTTGTACCGGGAGGGGATTTAGCCAAAGTACAGAGAGCTGTTTGTATGTTGAGCAACACCACTGCTATTGCTGAAGCTTGGTCGCGTCTTGATCATAAATTTGATATCATGTACGCTAAAAGAGCTTTCGTCCATTGGTATGTAGGTGAAGGTATGGAAGAAGGTGAATTCTCTGAAGCTAGAGAAGATTTGGCTGCTCTTGAGCGCGATTATGAGGAAGTCGGCACGGATACAGCTGAGTTGAACGCTGAAGATGAAAACGAAGAATATTAATCGTAACGTGTTTATTATGTGTATTAAAAGTTATTTTTAGTCTGTTAATAAAGTATCTATAATTATCAGTAATGTAGTTCATTATCACAGAAATCTAGTCAATAACGTTACTGACGTCACTATAACTCCCATCCATCGAATATACCACGTCAACATATTAATTAAACTGAGAGTATCACTTTGCCGATTTTGTACATTTTTATGACCCTTTGCCTGTAATTTGAGATTCATAAAGTGCTAGTGGCATAACATCATATTATGTACCATTTTCAGCTGGACCCTGGATACGAATTTAACTTACCAGATTGCTACACAGTACAAATATGGATCATTTTCAGATGTATAGAAGGGACGATTGCTAATACCATCTTTTTCATGTATCAAAACATATTATAAGGCCATTTCAACCTCAACAAAGGTTAATTTAGTCCCGATCTTACTCGATTTTTTGTTATCTTGTTTGGTAAGAAAATGATTGTAGGCTTCGTTCTGGATCGAAAAGACAGGCTCCCAAAACACTGCATACTGCATCGCAAGTTATACGATGATATTAGTTCTCTAGTACTTATAAAACTGTGAAATCAAAGTTGCAAGTTATCAAATACAATAAAAATTTTTTCGGTCGACATCATGGACAAACGTCATTGTCTGATCTTGGCAACAACCTGCTTTCTGGGCTAAGAGAATTTGTCAGTGTTGATGATAGTCAATTTTCCATTATATTGCCTTGGAATAATAATACGGTGGTATGTAGAGAATTGTCAAAGGGGAAAAATACATTAGACATTTAAGAACGAAAAGAAAGCTTCGCGATCGGGTATGGGTTGTGCACTCTCAGTTAAGGTTCAGTTTGGCGCCTGTGATGTTTTATTTGTATTTACCTCTTCACTGAAATCCTAGAGATCTTAACAGCATGAACTTCAGATTAGAGGGACAGATGCGCCATTTTGGGGTATTGATTTGAGTCTTGAATATTATAAATAATCTTCAGAAGTACTAAAAATGTACGAAAATCGCATAATTCCTTACTTTTAATTACTTTTAAGTTGGAATTTTACTCACTATTTTTATATAATTATGTCTTTTCTATATATCACAAAGTGTCTTTAACATTCGGATAATTCTGGACACACATGGACTTTAAGACTAAAATATTGACGGTGAGCTTTAAATACCATTCCTGATTATTTAGCAAAAAATGTCCGTTTCTGAGACTAAATTATAATAGGTCGAATGACGCATCGTGTCCCTTTAACATCACAAAAGCATCTTCAATAGGCCTAAGCCAAATCTCAATAGGATTGTAAAAGTGGTACCACCTGTATGGTTTGACCGGAGCATAAAATGGCAATATCGACTTACTCCTTGTGTTTGGTTTGTAGCCTATGGGTCCAGTAACGTATAGTTAGGGACCTTGGACAATAAAAAGAGCAGAATCTATTTTCCTGACTTACTCCTTGTGTTTGGTTTGTAGCCTATGGGTTCAGTAATGTATAGTTAGGGACCCTGGACAATAAAAAAAGCAGAATCTATTTTCCTGCCATATCCAAAATCGCTAGATGTATTCTCCTGCTAGCATCATTAGAAAATTTGTGCCCCCTTCCCCCACCATAAATAATACTAACAGTCCTATAGGCCTAGGCCCTATTTCCAAGTGTTCAAGTTACAAAAGATTAAGTTTATAGTCATAATAAACCCCTGTCCTGTTGGTTGGTCTATTGGCCTTAGTTAAGTTTGTGAGGGCATGTTGCTATAAACAGACAACAATTAAGATTCTTTCAAAGTTTCACTAATACAATCACGATATCACGGGTATAGAATTTACTCTACCCGTATCCATGTCCAATCCTTCAAATACCCCTTACTAAGTTACAAGTTGGCATTGGTTACCAACGTAAACAAATAACAGTTGTCAAATAATGAATGACTGCTCGTCAAATAATCAAATTTGATTAGACCCATTGTTCACAAATACATTTTTTTTTCTTTTTGACACCAGAAAACCTTTCTTTTTCTGTTTTTTTTGTAACAGAGCTTAAAATTGTTGGCCTGCTTTGATCTACGTCGTATCAATAATATTTAATCGTTATTTTCGGGAGTTAATTTTGCGCCTTGAATTATGTAAAAATCTTCAGAAGTACTAAAATTAAACGAAAATCACATAATTCCTTCAAATATACCTCACAAGAAATAATACTTTCCAATTCTCTCTCAATTTTTTCTTGGGTTGTCTCAGTACTATTTTGGAGAACTTTAATGATTCAATTCTTAAAAAAAAGATAGAATACGATTTTGTAAACATTTTGATTGGTCTGTAGGACTAAATATAGGCCAAAATGTTAGAAAAATTAAAATAAGCTAATCTATCTTTCTTTAAAATTGTTGTCATCTTTTTATCAACAGGTCTTTTTGGCAACAATTTTGAATAATGACATGGACAAGATTTAACATGCAGTACACTACAACATGAGTCACGTGGCAACTTTATTTCAGCAACCGTTACTAACAACATACGTGATAGGTTGGTTTCTCTTTATACCGTTTGATTCAACCAATCAAACAAAAGCGTCTATAGCAACATGGCTTGCTGGGGTATATATATCAAATTTGCCGCTCGCTAGTCACAAGTTGACACAGTCTCACTCGAGCTACATTACAGCTGTACTGTGAGGGTTTGGTCTGCCTGATATTTTTCTACTTTTCTTCAGTTGAAAATCTACCACTTAATCTTACAAAATGGTGAGTATTGTTTTCTATTACGATTGAATTCTTCGAATGGAGCCAGAATACATAGTTTTTTAAAAATGCTCATACTTAATGTATCTGGATCAATTGGTATTTTTTGGAAACGCTTCTGGATCTTGTTCTTAACTTCAATCAATGCAATTATTTCGATTTTGATTGTGATATCTTATGATATACCATTGTTATCAATTGGTTTTATTTGATGCGTAATTGTCTATAGAATTTCAATGTCGTCTTATTTTCACAAAGGTCACATAAGTGGGAGACTGTAATATAAAACTTGTAGACTTATAGCCTACTATTATAACAATGGTGATAAAATGAGTCATACCACAAAATACATCACGTATTTTTCTTGTTTGAAATATTTGAAATGTACGGTACGTGATTCATGATAATAGTTTTCCGTTGACTGGGCGCCATTTTCCTTATCGATCGTCTGCACGTTTTCAAACTGTTTATTGAGGTCAATCCAATGAAGCCGGTATAGGGCACACTATTGGTATTCCCGGTCTTAATTTGAAATGAACTGTGAATCTCATAGTTATTTAGTTAAGAATTATCCTTTTTAAAAATCTTTTTGAAATTGTTTAAATCCGTTTGACCCGCTATATTGGCAAGTTGACAATGTAGTCTAAATTAGGGCATGGTTAAACAAGTTTAACAACCTGACCGATCGTGACATAAATACTGGATCACTCCACTTGGTGAATACAACTAGATTGACGTCATTTCAAACAATATAATGCATACAGGTAATGTTAGTTAGGGTCGTTATCAGTGGGCCGATATTAAGCTATACATTGCCATCTCACCAACTTAAATCTGCATTTAAAATTACTCTAAAATATCTTATTTAAATATAACAAAGGGGACATTTGAAGACTGGTTATTGTCTAATTAGCTACAATATAGAACGAGTTTTGTGATCAGCTGTTACAATTAGCAACAGGTGTCCTTAGACGGCATTTTGTATCCATTCTTATATCGATTATACACATATCGTTTTGAACACCGTAATGTTTATTGGCAGACATAGTCGATGTACAGTAGAATCCGAATCTGGTTGGTTCTAGAATAAGTAAAATGAGTCATGACTTAGGGATTTAACAATCAAAGTTGTATTAATGTGTCTTTAATATTCCATTTCGCTTTATTTCAATAACAAAAAAGAGTGCTAAAGGTTAATAGTTAAATATATACCATCTATCATACCAATTTAATTTCAGCGTGAGTGTATCTCTATCCATGTTGGTCAAGCCGGTGTCCAGATGGGCAATGCCTGTTGGGAGTTGTACTGTTTAGAACATGGTATCCAACCTGATGGTCAGATGCCTTCTGATAAAACTATTGGAGGTGGAGATGATTCCTTCAACACTTTCTTCAGTGAAACTGGTGCTGGTAAACATGTACCAAGAGCTGTCTTTGTTGATTTGGAACCAACTGTCATTGGTGAGTAGTATTGATGATGTCCTTTATCTCTCAATCTAATCCAAAATTCCACCACTACAAATATCAATGATTTCACTGGTTTTTTTTTTTAGAACATTTCGTAAATTACAATTATTAAAATATATTTATTTTATGTCTTAAACTTGTGCCTATTCTTTTCCAGATGAGGTCCGAACTGGTACCTACAGACAACTCTTCCACCCAGAACAACTTATCACTGGTAAAGAAGATGCTGCCAACAATTACGCCAGAGGTCACTACACCGTTGGAAAAGAACTCATTGACTTAGTCCTTGACAGAATTAGGAAGCTGGCTGATCAATGTACTGGTCTTCAAGGTTTCTTGATCTTCCATTCCTTCGGTGGTGGAACCGGATCTGGTTTCTCATCTCTCCTTATGGAAAGATTGAGTGTCGACTATGGCAAGAAATCCAAACTTGAGTTTGCTGTTTACCCAGCTCCCCAAGTTTCAACTGCAGTGGTAGAACCCTACAACTCTATCCTCACCACCCATACCACCCTGGAACATTCCGACTGCGCCTTCATGGTTGATAACGAGGCCATCTACGATATCTGCCGAAGAAATCTGGACATTGAAAGACCAACCTACACCAACTTGAACCGACTTATCGGTCAAATCGTCAGTTCAATCACTGCCTCTCTCCGATTTGATGGTGCTTTGAACGTCGATCTTACTGAGTTCCAGACTAACTTGGTACCTTACCCACGTATCCATTTCCCATTAGCTACCTATGCCCCAGTTATCTCAGCCGAGAAAGCTTACCACGAACAACTATCGGTGGCTGAAATTACCAATGCTTGTTTTGAACCAGCCAACCAGATGGTCAAATGTGATCCCCGTCATGGT